ACACTCGAAGTCAACTAATCGGAAGGTCAACGAAAGTTACGCATCACAAGTTGACCAACTAAGTTGAAATTGCAAACGCAGCACGCACGTAATTCGTAAATGCATGAGAAAAAACTCAAGTCATCGATCGATCTTCATGTTAACTCAAAACTAGTGGCCGTTGACTTGCAGAAATCTCACACTGCAGCAAATAAATAGATTCAACAAAATGTAATTCATTCAAAATAAAATATCACTCCATTATTTTACGACGAATTAAGATTATAATGAAGTATACATATGAACTTTGAATTTACTTATTTCTAGGTCAAACTTGCAGAAGCGTGTAATTAATTCTGCGCCTTCACTATCAATTCTCCACTAACCAAATTGCTGCACTAGTTCAAATAAAATATACATATAATTCAGTATTTTATTTTTTTATTATTATTTAAAATCATCACTATTACTTATTATTATTATTATTATTATTATTATTATTATTATTATTATTATTATTATTATTATTATTATTATTATTATTATTATTATTATTATTATTATTATTATTATTATTATTATTATTATTATTATTATTATTATTATTATTATTAATATTATTATTATTATTATTATTATTATTATTATTATTATTATTATTATTATTATTATTATTATTATTATTATTATTATTATTTCACAGAGAATCTGAATTGATTATTAACTCGAGATTTCGTATTTTTATTATACCAACCAACCAACCCATTTTGACATTGCAAAAATTTTATACTTTGAATAATATTTTTTCATTTATGATTATATTTAAGGTCCTATATAAATAAGCTAAGTCTTAGTCTTGCATGTTTCTTTCATATATATTACAGCAAAGAATTTGTCCGTAAATATATATATTATAAACTGGCAGATAAAAGTAGCAATCACGAATTTAGTACATATTATAGCAAACTCTAATTAAGGATGTAACTGGTGGAAGTTGACAAAAAAATATTTGGTCTATATTTATTTATTTATATATTGTATGTAATAAGGTGGTGTTTGCAAAAGTGTTCCTTCGATCCTACACCCGGTGAAAAAAGAACACGTGGCAGCAGAAGACTCACCCGGTGTTTTTCACCGGGTGTAGGGTCGAACAAATCTTGGCAAAAGCTTATTTAAAAGCATAGGTTAGTGATTGTGTTAAGTTGATATTAAGTGCTTAATTCTAAAAGTTGTGGGTGTTTGTAAAAAATCTGGAAAATCAATTTAAATAGAAAAAGTCGGTTTTGTAAACACCTAAAAGCAAGTTATGAGAGAAAAAAAGTTGATAATCTATTTCTAAAAGTTTTTACAAACACCACCTAAGTGTCAAACGCTTTTGCCCGACTTATCAAAACAAAAAAAAATATATATAATGTTGAAATCCGGTGAACACTTCTGAAAAAACGCGCGACTACCAATAAAAATAAAAATAAAAATAAAACGTTATTTGAAAGGAGCCTCAATTCTAACTGTATGTATTTCCAAAGGAGGTATAATAATAAATGAGCCTCAACTGTACCACAGATGATAAAATTATGGGAGGATTAATGCAAATTGAAGCAAACTTAACGTAGCTCGGGTTCTTGTTTAAAACTTTGGTAATTTAATTACAACATTAAAATTATCGAACAATATTAATTTTGCCAATTGGTGATCGATCGAGAACGTCAAACAAATGGGGTCACTTTGTCACAACTTGTACCACGATTTATTGTCTAGAAAGGAACACTTTTGTAGTATACAAGAGGAACACTTGCTCATTAAATCATTAACTTGTGATGTCTCTATATATATCATTTCCCAAAGAACAATTTGACAAATTGTTAACAAAAGCCAGCCTTGTTACGTTGTTTTCAAAAATCTAAACTATAACACGAGTCGAGGATGAATACGCGCCATTTTTTGTTGATCGATTAACAGAGCGAAAAAATTGAGAAATTTGTTTAAATCCACCCTTTAAATATAATGTATACGTAAATTATAAGACAACAATATATATACTATATGCACAATTTGTACACAAAAGTTGGTAATTGTGTGACAATTGAAAATGTTGAATTTTGAATGCCTATCAAAGTCCACTCTTCTGTTGAGACAGACTACGTGTTACGACATTAGGAGTGGCAACAGTATTCTTGTGTTATCACAGTAATTAACCTACTAAAAGCAGAATAAAAAAACACAAGAATTTAATGTGGTTCGGATACAAACGTACCCTACATCCACGAGGACTTGCAAAACTAGTTCAGATTTATGTGTACATTAATAGGACTTAATAAAACACTAAAGACTCCCTCTTTATGTGATACGCCGTTCTTGCACACGACTCGAACTTGTTGATAATCAAAGCAATTCCTCCTCCGCACTCTTGGACTTCCTCCAATGTTGAACTTCCTTCAAACGGCGGATCGACCTCTCCCGAGATCTTTTAAGCACTTCTCCCGAAACGCCGATCTTCTTTATGGCCTGGTAGAAGAAACCTGTTATGTTGCCACACCTGCCGTGCAGACAGGGCTGCAGCACGGGCTGCACCCTTCAAAGCCTTTATGCTAGGATTTTTCTTATTAAAGCTCCATCGGACTCATATGAGGTTGAGGGCCTTATATAGGCACGAAATCTCCACCCTAAACCTAACTTGGGCCCTAAGAAATCGATTTAACTAGGTAATAGAATCCTAGTCGATTTCTACTTCTATTCTAGATAAATACAAAAGATACCTAACTAGAATACAATACATGGAAATAAATCTAAGTCCTAATAACAATATTACAAAAATAGGACTCTAATTAATTCCAAAATAAACATGGAAAACAAATCTTTGCCAATCTTTAATTTCCACGTATGGCGGATTTCTTCAATCTTCACAAGTAGAAATCTCGTGCCAACAATCTCCCCCTTTGGCATAGATTGGTTAGAATCCATGTTTAACAAGAACTCCCCCTGCAGATGAGATTTACTCCCCCTGCAACACAGATGCCACTTTTCTTCACCCGTCTGGTCTTCTATCAGAGTGTCCCATCACGGGGCACGTTACAACGCAGCGGAATTGGGTGAATGCCGTGACAGACTTCCGTCTCAACCTTCCTTGTGAACACACGTCATCCAATAAGCAAAGCAAACAAATCAAAACCCAAAATCAGACACTAAGTATATCTAGTGACCCGCTCTGATGCCAATTGTTGAATTTTGAATGCCTATCAAAGTCCACTCTTCTGTTGAGACAGACTACGTGTTACGACATTAGGAGTGGCAACAGTATTCTTGTGTTATCACAGTAATTAACCTACTAAAAGCAGAATAAAAAAACACAAGAATTTAATGTGGTTCGGATACAAACGTACCCTACATCCACGAGGACTTGCAAAACTAGTTCAGATTTATGTGTACATTAATAGGACTTAATAAAACACTAAAGACTCCCTCTTTATGTGATACGCCGTTCTTGCACACGACTCGAACTTGTTGATAATCAAAGCAATTCCTCCTCCGCACTCTTGGACTTCCTCCAATGTTGAACTTCCTTCAAACGGCGGATCGACCTCTCCCGAGATCTTTTAAGCACTTCTCCCGAAACGCCGATCTTCTTTATGGCCTGGTAGAAGAAACCTGTTATGTTGCCACACCTGCCGTGCAGACAGGGCTGCAGCACGGGCTGCACCCTTCAAAGCCTTTATGCTAGGATTTTTCTTATTAAAGCTCCATCGGACTCATATGAGGTTGAGGGCCTTATATAGGCACGAAATCTCCACCCTAAACCTAACTTGGGCCCTAAGAAATCGATTTAACTAGGTAATAGAATCCTAGTCGATTTCTACTTCTATTCTAGATAAATACAAAAGATACCTAACTAGAATACAATACATGGAAATAAATCTAAGTCCTAATAACAATATTACAAAAATAGGACTCTAATTAATTCCAAAATAAACATGGAAAACAAATCTTTGCCAATCTTTAATTTCCACGTATGGCGGATTTCTTCAATCTTCACAAGTAGAAATCTCGTGCCAACAGAAAATTAGATATAGGCATCCCCCACGTGCACCATGTTGAATTGCCTCCTAAAGAGGTCAAATTAGCAGACTATTGGCCCTTCATGGTGGCCAAAGTGGTCTCTTCTAACACTCTTAACTTATTACAACTTGGTGTTCAATTTCTTACATTTTTTTGAGCTATAAATTTATTGGTCTTTATTTGGTTAGACAATCATGGAACACACCATATTCCCAACACTTGAAAACCGGTGAAATGAGAATTGGGCCCAAACAAATTTGTTTCAGCTTGATTCAAGATCCATCGCTAAAATTTGTTTCAGCTTGATTTGTTAACATAATGAACCATACTTGAACACATGTTTTCGTTCGAAAACTTGTGACGCTCAGCTTGAGCTCAAGTTCAACTAGCATCCACTCGATTAGAACTCGTTTCAGATTGTTCAAAACATAACTTTTAAAATTCAATAGAAGTTCAAACAAACTTGAGCGACCATGCGTTATGCTGACTCAACGCATTTACGCCCCTACTTACAGACATATTGGAATCTAATTATAGAATTGGGTTGTCCGACGCAAAATTCCATAATTAATTCAGAGAATGCCTAAAATTGGGACTATCGGACTGAAACAAATTCCCCGAACCATCACGAAAGGTGATTCGTAATGATAAAACATCGAATACAAAATAATTATTTAATTAAAATTTATATAATTGCCCAACCAAACAAGACCTAATGTATCCCATATTCAACTTTGTTCATCTTTAATTATGTTAAATTTTTAATTTTTAAGATCCTATTACTTGGGCCCAATAACCCAATTAAAATTCATCCGAACCAATGGGCTTATATAATATACTCCTTCAATGCTAAAATGGGCCGGGCCGGGTCGAAATCCAAATGCATATACTAATTACGGGTCGGGTACAACCATATTATGCTGGTTCATGTTATGTACGAACATATATATATTTCATCTGATTGCAGAGTGTGAAGGTATAGATGAACCAAATTTCATGGAATCTCCAAATTTTCCGCCAAATTTTGAAAACATGCGTAGATAGAAGGGATCTCACAACGGGAAAATGCTTGCACGCAGTTTATATCAAGTCTGTTGTTCCACAGGTTACATACATTTCCAACCACTTCACTCTCCTGTACTCCAAATGCGGCCGTCTCTCCGCCGCCGGGAAGGCCTTCGCCGCCACCGCGGAACCCAATGTCTTCTCCTTCAACGTCATGATCGCAGCCTACGCCAAAGAATCGCTTCCCCATCTTGCACGCCACCTGTTTGATAAAATTCCCGAACCGGACATCGTCTCTTACAACACCCTCATTTCCGTCTATGCTGAACGCGGCGATGCTTCGCCGGCGCTGGATCTCTTTCTGGGTATGCGGGAATCAGGTTTGGGTATGGATGGGTTCACCTTTTCTGCAGTCATAACTGCTTGTAATGATGACGTTAGATTGGTCAAACAGTTGCACAGTTCGGCTTTTTCCGGTGGGTTTCATGGCTATGCTTCAATGAATAATTCCTTGATTTCCGGGTACAGTAAAAACGGGTTTTTTCATGATGCGGAAAGGGTGTTTTCTGAAATGGGTCCGGTTAAAGACGAGGTGTCCTGGAATTCGATGATCGTAGCATACGGACAGCAGAGGGAAGGATTAAAGGCGATGAAATTGTACCAAGAAATGGTGCGCCTGGATTTGTACGTAGACATGTTTACATTAGCTAGTGTACTGAGCGCTTTTACGAGCATGGAAGATTTAATCGGTGGGAAGCAGTTTCATTCTCAGTTGGTAAAGATGGGGTTTCATCGAAACGCACACATCGGAAGTGGTCTGATTGATTTGTACTCAAAGTGCGGCGGTCATATGTGCGACTGCAGAAAGGTGTTCGACGAAATGCCTGACCCAGACTTAGTTCTTTGGAACACAATAATCTCTGGCTACTCCCTCAACGAGGAGTTCTCAGAAGAGGCGCTCAATTTCTTCAAGCAGATGCAGCGAGCAGGCAACTTCCCCGACGACTGCAGCTTTGTCTGTGCAATTTCGGCATCTTCTAAAATGTCGTCTCCTTCACAAGGGAGGCAAATGCACTCGTTGGTCATCAAATCCAATATCCAATCAAACAGAATCTCCATAAACAACGCCCTCGTTGCAATGTATTCCAAGTGCGGGAATTTGCAAGAAGCCCGCCAGCTGTTCGATAGAATGCCTGAGCATAATAACGTATCGTTTAATTCCATGATTGCAGGCTATGCTCAGCACGGGCTTGGAGCTGAATCTTTGATACTCTTCGAAAAAATGCTCGAGAAAAAGATTGCTCCCACGAGTATAACATTTGTATCTGTAATTTCTGCATGTGCACACACTGGTAAAGTTGAAGATGGAGAGAGATACTTTAGTTTAATGAAGGAAACTTTCGAGATAGAACCGGAAGCTGAACACTACGCATGCATGATCGATCTTTTGGGGCGAGCAGGAAAGCTAGACGAAGCAGAGGGGCTTATTTGTACAATGCCATACACTCCAAATGTCATGGTTTGGGGTTCGTTACTCCGTGCATGCAGAACACACGGTAATATCAAGCTAGCTGAGAAAGCTGCGAATCATTGCCTTCATCTCGACCCTTCAAATGCAGCTCCATACGTAACCATGGCACACATGTACACGGTGGATCGAAGATGGGATGAGGTGTCGAGAGTGAAAAAGCATATGAAAGATAGGAGTGTGAAGAGGCGACCAGGCTGCAGTTGGATCGAGATTGACAAGAAAATCCACTCGTTTGTGGCGGACGATAAATCTCACCCTATGAGAGAGGAGATTTACGGGTTTTGGGATAAAATGTGGGAGAAGATCAAGAAAGCTGGTTATGTGCCTGATTTGAAGTGGGCTTCGGTTAGAGATGATTGTGGCGTGACGGAGGAAGAGAAGGAGACGATTTTAAGGCATCATAGCGAGAAATTGGCGGTTGCGTTTGGGCTTTTATCGACTACAGAGGGTGCCAGTTTGCTTGTAATGAAGAATTTGAGAATGTGTGGAGACTGTCATAATGCTATTAAGGTTGTTTCTGATGTTGCTAAAAGGGAGATTACTGTAAGGGATTGTCATAGATTTCACCATTTTCGACAAGGCCAATGTTCGTGTGGCGATTTTTGGTGAAATTAATTAAAAAAAATTGGGTTTTTTTTCGGAAACTGTATACAGGGGCCTCGTGTCCTCAAATTTTTTGTATGTGATGTATAATGCACACTAATTTAATATACAAATTTCTATTTAGTGATATTGAAGCAAAACTAGCAGGCGACGTACTAGAAATATTCGAGTTCGATAGGGGGTGAAAAATGGAATTCAAAACGATATATAGCAAAGTCACAATTCAAAACGATAAGAAGGTTTCTACTGCTCAATTGCAATGTCGTTGTCTTGGCCACGTGGCGGTCTCCACTTGCTATCGAAAACGGTCCTTTCTACCACTCGAGACTGTCCTAACTTGTCATCGATTAGCTGAAGCAATTCTTGCAAACCAAGTCCAGTTACTGCAGATGCTTTCACAGGGCAACTGGATTCTGCTACAGACACAGCATCTTTAACAGAATCTTTGACAGAATCTACCAAAAGCTCGTTCGGTTTGTCGCTTACAGTATTGCTTCCAATGGAGCAACCATCATAGTCAACCCAAGAATCTTCTTCTTGCTCCTCCTCATCCTCAGATAAGAGCCACTCTTCCGGATAATCTCGATCTTCATCGTGTTGACCGGTCAACTGTTCAGATGCCACGTCAGCGTCGTCGTCGCCCGAGAGACTGGTGTCGTAATCTCCATCATCAACTTCGTCGATATCGGGTTGCTTTTCCAGAAGATCGACCTGAAGAATTTTTTAGGGAATAGGCGAGTCAACTCTCTGTTGTCTCCATATATTTTATTTCCAAGGTAATTACAGATAGACCCCTCAAGTTTGGAACATTTACACAAACCTTATTCCAAACTTCAATCATATTATGGAGCTTCTCCTTTGACACGCCTAGCTTGCAAAGAACTTGCATTACAGCTTCGCGGTGTTCGTTGATACTTGGAGAACTCGAGTCCAGTACATGCTGCAAATTTTCTCAAAGTTTGTAAAACATAAATATAAACATCAAGATTTGCTAACGGGAATATGAAGGGCATAACCGTAAATTCATACCACAAGCAGGTCAGCTTCGACGACCTCTTCTAAGGTAGCGTGAAATGCTTCAACTAGCTGCAAAATAAAAACTACGTGACCACAAAGAACAGTCTAGCCAATTGAGATTTAAAAAAAAAAAAAAAACATATCCGATGAAAAGCATTTTCGCTAACCTGCACGGGCAAATCTGAGATGAATCCAACTGTATCACTAAGCAGCACTTTCCTCCTAAATTTCAGACAGGAAATATTTGAGGCAGAAATTAATATTACAGAGAAATCACAGAGGTAAAATATAGTAATTATTACCCTGATGGAAGAACGACACTGCTCAACTTCGGATCAACAGTTGCAAACAATCTGACATGAGGAAATTTCTGTATCAGATCGACAGCTGTCATAAACCGAGTGGTGGAATATGTGAATGTGTACATTTGATATTAGCAAGAACATCCAAAATCGAAAGAAATGTTTTTTTTTTTTGACTTACCGATCATCGCAGTAAAGATAGGTGTTTGAGAGTGCACTAACTAATGTAGATTTCCCCTGGAAAAAAAAGATGTTCACGAAAAACGAAAATATTTCGTAACTTTAATATTAGATGAAACGAACATAGAATAAAAAAAATGATTACGAGGCACCTACAGCATTTGTATATCCAACTACAGCAACAGTAGGAATTTCTTGTCCTGGGGAGCTTCCTTGCCTTCTTCTAGCAGCACGTTGGATGGCTCGAGTACTTCGAACTTCTTTTATTTCGGACAACAACTTCTTTCTCCGATCCAAGATTCTGAAAATCCAACAGTTTTACTTAGACTGGACAAATCCGAGACTCTGAATTGCATATTATACATCGAATAATAACACTTCAAAACTTCATAAAGAAAACAAAAAAATCTCGTATACAATTTTTCTGCAAGGCGGAAACATATGCAATCAATAAATAGATGGATAATTTTTATCACACCTTCGCCTTTGAAGCTGAAGTTCGGTTTCTCCAGCACCACTGATAAAACCACGCCCTCCACTTCCTCTCCTGCAAATCACCGATCGTTTTAAATGAGAAATTTAATAATCATGTGATTACAACTACAAATATGAACCCCTCGAGAAAAAAAAAATAAATAAAAAAAAAAAGCAGTTCATAAATATGCTAATTAGAAGTTCATCAATAAAACTCACCCTCTGGCACTAACGACTTCTGATTCCCCGGCTCCACCAAACGTGTAACGCCCATCAAGCCCACGAACTCGAACAAGTCTGCTTCTTTTATACATCAGAGCTGCCAACTCAGCCTGAAAATAATAGAATATTTGAGGCTAAATGTTAAATAGAAGTCGCCATTGCAGCCTATACGTCAATGCGCTTATATACTATTACAAGGAATTTGTTGGCAAATATATGAAGATCGCAAAGAAAATTCACTTTAACCTGTAGTTTAGCTTCCTTTGTTTGAGCATGAGCATTAAAAATCTCTATTATGAGACTAATACGATCAAGAACAGGTTTATCCCAAGTCCGCTGTGAAATAATTAAAACAGGGAATCAGCTTAACTAATATGTTAATGGAAACTTGTAGCACGGGAAATTATATTTTAATTATATTGTACAGACGAAATGTCGTTTTGTCAAGATAGGGTCGTATCATATATACAGAAAACTTGCCTCCAGATTCCGTTGCTGAACGCCACTAAGAATAGCGTTTACGAAAACGGCATCCACCTCATCCTGTTTGTAAGTAAGAATCATGGAAGAATCTATTCAAATTATTTGTACCAGACTTTGCTAAAACTCACGAGAAATAACTACCGAAACATGAAAATTCCTTACCTTCGATTCCAAGTTATTTATGTGGCATTTAATATTCCCCACCGTCCCACCTCCGAAATATGTATCTGTGGCATCATTCAAAGTCAAAAAGACTAAGCTATATCCAACTAAACTTTGCCAATACTACATAATAAAAATGAATCATCGATTCATGGCATTAGATTTTCAGTCATTGAATCGTTAATTACATCGACTTATTTTAATCAATAGACTAAAACGACCGACATTGCCCAATACTGAACTCATTCTTGCTCATTTGTTTCGGTTCTCTAGTTTTAAGTTCATAACACTTCAACATTTCATAGTAAGCACAATTTGCCGCCATATCGTAATCGAGCTTAACCACGTGACTTGGAATCAACACGACAAATCAAACACTTTAAACGAAACATTTCCGTTTGACAGGAGATTTTTCAAGCTATGAACTAATTCAACTACATTTATAACAAGCCAATTTACTTATCGACGAATCAGAATCAAACTCGTGAAATAACATTACAGAGAAAAATAATCATGGGAAAGTTACCGGCCCGAGTTGATCTGGCAGCAGGGTTCTGAACAACAAGATGAGGTGGCATTTCCTTGTCCGAAAACTCCGTGTGGTACAACCCATCACGCTGTTGCTCAAGAGAATTTGCAAGATTCAACGCCTCCTCAAGCTTCGCCTTCAAAAGGGTTTCGGGTCGGATCCTGGGCTGTACGACGAATAACCTGGGCGGGCAATCGGGTTCCCTGTTGAACTCATCGTTATCGGGATTAAGCTGTTTTCTTTGTAGAATTGGGGAGTTGGAGAAATATGCAGAAAGGGGAGGAAATTGGGAAGGTATAATTGATGAAGACGAAGTATTTATGGGGTTTAAGAGGGACAATCGGGAACGCAGGTGCAGTATGGCTCCGAGCATCTGATTGTTTGTTTGTATTGGTAATTTTGCTCTTCAACTTTAAGCTTATGATCAGACCGCCGAAGAAAAGTTGATCAGCTGTCTAGGTTTCCGCCGCGCCGGTGGATAAAGTTCGGGGACGAACGGCGGTGCATCGTCGTAGTTGATTAATGTCAGTATTGCTTCAATTGAGGGTTCTCTTTCTTGTTTGTCATCAATTTTAGGTTATTATTATTTTTTATTAAAATGCAAGAGTTCCCTCAAATTGGAATATTCATAAATTAATAATCTCGTTTAATAATTTTTCTAATCCCGACATAATAAAGTATTAAATTATTCATCCCATAATCTAATATTTTACTAAAGGGCTAAATACAGTTTCCACCCTTAAAGTATAGGGTTGGTAACACTTACCCCCTTAAAGTTACAAATGTAACACTTACACCCCTCATTAATGAATTTAATGATAAAATTTTGACTTTGAATGATGTGGCATTTTGTCTTCCTAAATTATCCTTCTAGCTATTATATTGATGCATATACAATAATATATTTTCAATAATATTTCAAAAACTAAATTTTATTAAAATATAATAATTATTAAAAAAATATTTTGATTTATGTTTAACTTCACATTTTAATTACTATAGACCCTAATATAAATAAAAATTTCAATATTTTAAAAAATATATAAAATACGTTAAACATTTGCAAGAAAAAAAAATATTTCCAAGACTTAAACGTCCAATTTTTTTTATAATAATTATTGATTTGAAAATTTATTTCAGTTACTTAAATTGCAATAAAAAAATATTTCAATATTTAGACGTTTAATTGCTTATGAACTTTTGAATACATTTTGTGATTCTCAGAATAAAAAGTGAGATGATTATATTAGAGTCATATACGCATTAAAATAACTATATAAACTATAAAATCATAATTAAAATCTATTAGCTACAAATGAACACAAGGTAAAACAAAAATGAAACTAAAATTCAATTTTTTTCATTCATAAATTTACAATATTAAAATAATAAAATTAAGTTTTTGCAAAGTTGCCGATTTTTTTATTATTACATATTCATTATTTATATAATGGCAAGAGTTGGGAAGAAAAAATGCCACATCATTCAAAGTCAAAGTTTTGCCTCTAAATTCATTAATGAGGGGGGTAAGTGTTATATTTGTAACTTTAAGGGGGTAAGTGTTACCACCCCTATAGTTTAAGGGTGCAAACTGTATTTAGCCCTTTACTAAATTAATAGAATTTTATTAATCGCACCTGTATAATCGACTTGAAACCGATCCAGAAAAAGAAAAACTCATTTTTCTAAACTCAAATGTAACACAAGCACCATTCTGCCAAACATGCAGGGGAATATATCGATACAATAATCGGAAATAAATCCTATAAACACAACTATAATTTAACCAAAATGTCGAAAGAAAACGAGTAATTTACTAATTAATATAACAAATTCTTCCATATTTTTTGTATAAAGTCCAATAATAGAGCTCTCCAAAAATCCTCATTTTGTGGATTTTTTTACGTTCTTTCTTTTTTCGGTCGAGGCATACGCGCGGAAAACAGCAACTTCCAGTCAGCAAGAAAATCAACTATCGATAAATTGGAGTCGAACTTTTTTTTTAATTTGTTTAGAAAATCAAACCTCACAATAAATTACGTCAACTAAGCACAGTATATTCTAATGATCATCATCCCTGTTTCTACTTTTCCTTTTCATCCCAGCTTTTTTCTGACTTCGCTTTGGCCCCTGAAGCAAAAGATAAATCAAATTACGAGAAAAAATAAATCAAAGTGACGCTAACAAACGGTAACCGAATTACATGATAATTAGAAGTTTGTTTGTTACCTCAGCAGAGAATGTTTTTAGGGGATCTTTGCTTCTTCTAGATTTTCCTTTAAACACTTTACGATGGGTAGAATTGGTATTTCCCATAGCAGCTCTAGCAAGCTTTATAAGCTTGCTAGCTTCTTGTGTTGTTGGATCCAACAAGTATTCGGGCACATTGCGTAAGTGTGGAGGAGGTGCCTTTTTGCTCAGCGCTTTATCGTGCTTTAATAGATCTGTTCAAAAATGAGAAGAGTACAAGTTATAATAATACTATAGTTATTTAACACCTACGAAATATATAGCCATTGATATACATTCAATAAGCTTTTACCTAAGTCCTTTGGATTTTCTTGAAAATGAGCCTTCAACCTGCATATTTCCAAACAACCGAAACATCAAACACAAAAGCAAAACCCAAGAATTCTCACAAGCAATAGAAGTTACTACGACAACTTACTTTTCGGAATTGAGGATTTCATTTCTTAGATCCTGCGCGCGTGATTCCCTAACGGCGATTTTTGTTACACTCCTTGCAACATCCTGCATATAGTCAATCGTGAAGAATGAACTTGAAACATTCTTCCACTAGTGTATGAAACTTTTCATAAAGGTGAATAATATACCTCAGCTCTGTACCGTAAAGACTCAACAGCATTCTTACTTAGCAAAGGAAATGGAGCAATTAATTTTGAGTCCTCGTTGTCATTTTCACCCAAAAGGGTTTTGATGTCTTCGAAAATTTCCGTATCCTTAGGAGAGACCTATTCAAAGAGAAGAAGATATGTCAAAGTATGCATGTCAGGAAGAAAAAAGAAAAGAGAAAATGGGAAATTGGATCGTGTTCAAATATAACATGCAATTAACGAAAATAGAAATTCATTTGTTTTCGTACAAGAGAGACAGATGCACCGGTATTATATGCTCTTCCAGTACGACCAATCCGATGCACATAACCCGCAGCAGTTTCAGGCATGTCAAAGTTTATCACCTAATGAAAAGTAAGATTCAATCATATATGGGTATCGATTTGTCTACTAGCAATTATCAAAATTAAATTATCAATTTGTCTCACCGTGTACACATTTTTGAAGTCTATTCCTCTGACTACACCGAATTCTGAATCAAACTTCACCTTGGAATTCTTTTTAGATTTTTTACGAGGAGGGTTGTTAGACTTGTCGTTTTGGTCTTGTGTCGATGTTGATTGGCTGCAATCAGTTGCAATAAGGTAATCAAAAAGACCAGCATTGAATTCCTGAAACGAAAACAAGGAGTTGAAAAACGAGGCCGAAGCATTATTCATGCAATTTCGACTCGCACAAGCCAGGGCACTGAATAAAAGTTTAAAACTCAACGAAGAATGACAGACCGAAATAATTTAAAATGTACCTCAAGAATGTGTAAACGAGAATTCTGAGGCAGCTCGGCATTTAAAACTGCAGATTTGATTCCAAACTGCCATATTATGAATGGGTTAATTACCAAGAAATTAGCAGAGTTACCATAAAAATTGAAAATATTTCTTGGTTTTGTGGAGAGAGTTTTAGAATACAGCATCATCTTAATGCAGGCATTTAGTGAACCAATCTACCTGTTCAAAGAAGAGCTTAAGTCTAAAACTCATGTCAATTGAATTAGCAAAAATCAGCACTTTCTTCTGAACCAGCTCCAGCTTCAAGAGAGCAAGTATATACACAAGCTTGTCACGCTCACCGCATGAAACCTACACAAGTAATATCGTCAATACCAAAATAATGCAAGAACTGCTTAACACACACAAAAGAAAAAGGGAAGACGCGATAAATAAATAAAAGTGAGACAGATAAATCTCACAGGAAACTTTAGCTTATCAAAGAGACATACGTAAAAAGAGCATAATTATTTTACTCAACAAACAGAACGAAATAAACTGCAAATAGCGTACAATGATTAGAACAATTTACCACAAACAGAGGCAAAAAGTATACGAATACTTACATAAAACTGCTGAACATTTTTGGGGATAATATCATCTTTTCCTTCACCCACTTCAGGTAAAGTTAAAATGTAGGGATTGTGTAGAATAAGCTTTTTCAGCTTTTCAACATCAGCACTGGAAAATATTCATGTAAAAAAAGGGTTATTAGAGCTGGTCATATTGCACTTGATGGTAAACAAGCTTTCAAAATGGAACTGTATAAAGAATAGGGTTGATATCATGGTACATAAGTGTCAAGAAATTTCAACCATCATCAAGTAAAGTAATCTCACAGAATATGGAATACACACTGTACGCCACTTACTCTTAATCTCCCACTTATAAAATAAATCGAAAAAGACAAACGCCAAATTCTGGATACACCACGTATTATATATATTTTGGATGTACATAAAAAATCATTGGTGCTTTGGAGGCCATGAACAACTTTGCCTTCTTAGTCAAGAAAATATCAACAAAACTATAACCTAGTTATTGCAGCAACATTATCAGCGGAACACACCTTGAAGTAGCAGACATGAGAAGGCATTGGCAACGCTTTGGAACATGAGCCGTAAGAGCTTTTAGATCGCCCTCATATCCATACGACAAGAGAAGATCTGCCTGATTTTGTAAATTAAACTATTAATATCTTCATATAATCACATCTCTTCAAATATTTAGCTAGGAAATACGCTAATGCACAGCCATGTAGACATAAATGCCAAGAATCGAAATTTGCCACAATACTTTACGTTAATGAAAACCTTTACTTTCAAGTTAAGATATACACTCCACTTAGTATAGATATTCTGGAGTATCTTGGACCAAAAATTAAAGTTCACTTATAACTAACTATTTTTTTTTTAATCATTATGAGGATATGTCACATAAATGATACGATATCAAACTTCAAGCATGAAGAACTTATGAAAAAGTAGACGATTATGCAAAAATTGAAGTAGTATTACATTCTAGGTGGCATTAAAAATATCAAATGGTACAATAAGAGTGCTTTAAACAAAATCTACACCCGGTATAAACAAAAAGCATATAGAAAAATTAGTTTGTATTTGCGTGTTTAGTCTAAAACTACCCATTTATGTATCCTTGTATTCTGTCTACAACTTTTGGGTCGAACGTTTGACAATTGGTTTGTCAGAATGATATAAAATCGATATACATACCTCATCAAGGACAAGAACCGAAAGTGATTCTTGAAGAGCTTTAGCTTTAAGGATGCCTTTTGTCAAGCACGTTTGTACACACGCAGGAGTTGACACAACGATATCAGGAAAACCCGCCAAAGATGTTTTCTGGAATAAAGGGAATAACAAGTCTCCTCATTACAAAATCCATATCACACTCACAAAAGATTGCAATAAATCACATTTCCGACTATATAAATCACGACAAAGTTAATTCACCAACCAAGTCAGAAGGAGACATTGTGCTCCTCAATTGAACAACTTTAATTTGCACTCTGCATAATTCAATTAGCGAAGTCGCCTCCGAAAAAACCTGAACAAAACAAATAAAACGGCAACATATAATAAGTTAACACGAAAAAACCCAAGACCAAATCTTTTTAGTTGTTAAACTGGATTCAAAGAAGCTAATTACTTGTTGCGACAGTTCTCGAGTCGGAACAAGAATAATGGCTGCAGGGGCGGTGTACTTTTTCGAAGGTGAATCAGAGAAAAGCTTCTGAAGCAATGGAAGCAGATAAGCTAATGTTTTTCCAGAACCGGTTTTTGCTCGGGCCACCACATCTTTGCCTTCCTATAAACAGATAATAATCTCGGAAAAATAAAAAATTAAGCTAAAAATGCAAATGGTAATACAAATTCAGCAGAGAAGAAGACATACGAGGATAAGAGGAATGGCAACGTGCTGGATTGGGGTCGGCTTTTCGATTGATTTCTTCGATAGGGCACGAATGAGGCGGGAATCCAGCCCCAATTCTTCGAAGCTCTTGTCTTCTTCGTCCTTCTCTTCTTCTACTTCTACTGCTACAACAGGTTTATCTTCTGCTTTCTCTTGTGGCTTTTCTTCTTCTTGTTTCTGCGCAGCGTTTTCGCTCTGAGCACTGCTTTTTCTTTTCGCCATTGATGATTGGGATTTTTGGGTGAGAGGTCGAATGATGAAGATGAAGACGATGGAGAAAGGCAGAAAGGGTTTTAGGGTTTCTTTTAGGGGTTTTTGTTTCAGACGAATACGGGTCGTCTGAAATCGGGTGGGCTATACCGGTTCACCTATTGAGTAAGCGCGGTTCACAACTCGAAATACGATTTATGCTTTTGGAAATGACCAACTTAGCCTCCATAAGCCACAAGATAAATTATTTCCATGCATCAACATTTTTCTTCATTTTCATAGTCAATCACATTCAAGATTGTCTAAATTTTTGCTATGCTTTTTTTTTTTTTTTGGATTTGGTGTTCATCGAATTCCATTTAATAAGTCGAATTCATGGATCGCACAAATTGGGCTAGAGTTTAAATTTATGTATACACCGACTTCGTTATCCGTTCTGGCATTTATAGATTTATTGGGCCACTTGGACCTGTTGATTGAAGTTGGATGCATGAGTTAAAATAAAAACATTATACTAAATGAAAATATTATTGAATTCATCTTCAAACTATCGTGATTAAAGTTGAGTAATAAAAAAATGGAAATTATACATAGTAAAAAAAAAATTAAACATAAACTCAATTCATGTAATAAAAGTAATGACATAATTCACATGACACATGCACTGCGAAGGGGGCCCCATTGTATGATGACGAGCATGTTATACTTACAAAATTCAATTTAATGAGATGTATTTATTACGCATCTTTGACTACTAATACTATATATGCTTTCGGTGCAACATCTCTTTTTTCTTCGTTTTGTTATTTGGGTATTTAGGGCAAACTCAAATTCCTTCCTTCACATATGAAAATCTAGTGCACTGAAATATGTCACAATTTACTAACCAAGGACCACATTTTTTTTATTTTATTTTTTTGTAGATAATGTAGTAACATTGAAATATATGTCATGAGTCTTGTGACATATAGTAGTTAGTACTAATATTAATTTAGATTTAATTTACAATTTGGCACCACAAAAAATCATACGCACCGCTATGATTTCAAGATCCTCGTCCCACCAACAATAATCATCACGGCCAAATATTTTATTGTTATCACAAATCTAATCTTTTGGTAAATTACTCGTAAAATTAACAGCAGCCCGTTATAAATTCCCATGGATATATTGCATTCACTCCCCATAACGAATATTATTTAGAATCTTCAAGATTCTGTTATTCATAATTCCGTAAATATGTAATTGCAAGATAACACAATAGCTAGTGGAATATTTGTAATTAACTAGTCTTACAAGAGAAGGTGCCCGCAATTTACCCTAAATTTTATTTTAAGACATTGAGATAATTAAATATAACATTATATTTTTCATAACTTGCTGGCATCATTGACAAAACTTTGTAGCATGACTTAATTGACGAGGAAATTGAAAAAAAAATTTGATGCCACATAAAATGAGGTGTTTTTTTACTCGAGAATCCTAATTTATGGTGGCTATAAAAATTAACTTTGTTCATCTTTGTCAAAACTCCATTGCACTAATGCTTCAACCCTAATAAGAAATAGACATACCGCTGCAGTGGAAATAATAAAGATGTAATTAACCGCGGAAATCGCACCGATCGGGTCAAAATTAACACTCTCGATATATATTTTTTTTACTGGAAAAATTATTTTCTATTTAAGCTCATAGAATTCAGAAAAAAAATTAGAAATTTCCAAATTAGAGTGCAAAAGCTTGTTTTTAAATCGATTTTTTTGAATCAGAATCGGCGAAAATAAAAAATAAAAAATAATACCTCTCTACATTATATTATTATATAATCAGTAATCAGTAATCAGGCATAAGTTGACTGATCTTGCCTTCGTCGTCGTCCAATTTCTGCTCCGTCAATCTCAACCAAACACAGACGGCGGCGAAGCTGATTACCAGGCTCACGAACCCACTGCCCAGCCCGATTCCGACTATCGCCAGAACCGATAGCCCTTTATTATTCTTCATGGGGGCCAGAGGGTACCCGTACAACCCCTTATTCCCTTCGTACGAGCTCGAATTGAACCGGGCCAGATTCCTGCTCCGGTTCCCCAGCGACGGCGGTATCGGCCCGGAAAGTTTGTTATTCGACACGTCGAAAACCGACAGCCTGACCAACAGCCCTAGCTGCTGCGGAATCGGGCCCGACAGCTGGTTATCGTGGAGATCGATGACGTTTAAGTAGGCGCAGAGCGCCAATTGCGGCGGAATTGGCCCGGAGAGGCGGTTGGACGAGAGGTTGAGGACGGCTAAATTGACTAAATACTGTAGCTCCGGTGCGATTTGGCCGGCGAGCTGGTTGGATGAGAGGTCGAGGGATTGTAAATTGGTGCAATTGGAGAGGAAAGGGGAGATTGTCCCCTTGAGAGAGAGGTTAGAGAGAGAGAGCTTGTAGATGCGGCCGTTGTTGCAGGTGGCGCCTTGGAGGAAGGAGGTGAAACCCTGGCAGGGGCTGGCGAACGTGGCCGTTGTCCAGTTCTGCAAGTTCTTCAATGGATCCTGTAACGACTCGCTCAGGTGGGTCATGCACCTCTCGTCGTCGGGATCCGCCGCGGCGGCGGCGGCGGAGGATAGAATCAGCACGGCCAGGAGCTGGCCGCAAATAACTACACCCATCTCTAGCACAGAAGCTGTTTGTGTATTTTCCTCTGACGAAATAGTGACAGGTTTTTGCAGCAGGAATGAAATATATATAACGCTGAGAAAATTTAAACTAATTTGTACTGTTTATTTCTCCATATATATATATATATATATATATATATATATATATATATATATATATATATATATATATAATTTTTTTTTTTTTTGGTAATTGTATAGGTGCATGTTAGCATGGCATGAGTCCATGGAAAAAGAGAATTGGTTATTTATGTTATAGTGAAATGTTTATATATAGGTGTCACATGTGGGAAAAGTTGGTGTAGTAATCATTTTGGGATTTAATAGTGGGAGTTATGATAAAGTTGAGTACCCTTTACCAATTGCTTCAAATATAAATCTGATCTTTGGTTCTGATATTACTTGTATAGTTAGTTAGGGGATTTTTATTTTATCTTAATATAATTATCTCTTCAGAATTATGAATCTTCTCACACGTCTATTCTTATGGTGCAAATTCAACAAAAAAAATTTGTGGAATGTTCTCTAGTTTATACTCATTTTATGCAAAAATACAGTTTCGGATGCACCACAGTCTGATATTTACAATGTTAAGAAACACATCTTATAATCATCTTGTTTCAAAATGTGGAGCTCAAATGGGGTAAAACGAATACAAACTTGTGAATATTCCACATAATTTAGAAGATTTCACTAAATTTGACACCGCAAGGGTGAACATGTAAGAAATTCATAGTTGATAAGGTTGATTGTAATTACTCAAATATGAAAGAGTTTTACCGTAATCTGACGTTACCTCAAAGGTAGCCGGAATTTACTCAAAAAATATTAATAAACAGATTAAAAAATACAAATGGGCCAAATGAAACAAAAGATTGAACTAGGGGCCCAAATAGTTTATATTTATTTTTATTTAAAATTAATGAGGGCCCATACTCTTAAGAAAATCTTACTACACAAAAACCAAGATCTGGTCCATAGAACCTGAGACCACAAATTTCTGTCAACTCGGAGTAGTGTTTGGGTAATATGATGGACAATGCATTGTGATATGAGAGTGAGTTTGATTTTGAGTAAAAAGACATATATTATTTATGTCTGTAATTGTTTATTCAGCTACTAACGCATTAACCATGGTTTGGTTGAAGGAGGGTACTTGTTCGTGCAAATACGTAACAGGTAAATTGCGGGATTCTCCAAAGCTCAGTTCCGAAAATCGGACCTTTCAAATTGGAATCAACCAAAATCGGAAATTTTATATTTCACCTCTCATCGACTAACAATACAATTGATTGTTTTTAAAAAAGATTTAATTTTATCTTAGCAAATAAAAACTTCATAGCTTGTAAAATTATAAGGTCAAATTAAAATATATCTTTTCAATACTACAAATGATATTTTTTTTCCCTTGTCTTAAGAAACTTGTGATTTGGATAGATATTTTAATGTTTCAAATCAACGGCTGGATCCAGCCCAAGTTTACAGTCATAGCTTAACGGCTAAAACCCATTTATAGGCCCATCAATAGATAATAAGATGGTACACTTGATTATTTATATGTGTTTTTTTGAGAAAACTCCCTCATTACTTGCACCAAAAAGGCGAAATCCTTCACCCCCTGGGCCTCCATCCCTTAGCCCGACAAGGATTGATGGAGAAATGTAAATCATGGTAACTCAATGGTCCGTTAAGGTAGCGGACCTGGACCTGGTGCCCACAAGGAACCAACCTTCGTTGGAGTTAGGGGTGTGCATGGGTCGGTACGGTTCGGTTTTTGCAATAAACCAAACACGTACCGATAATATCGTTTTTCATATTTTAAAACAGTGTATGTCGGTTTTTTTTCGGTTCGGTACGAATCGGTTTTTCGGTTTTCGGTAAACGGTATCGGTATCAATTCGGTTTATTTTCGATTTCGGTTTCATTATCGGTTCGGTATAAAACCGATGTTTGATTAACGGTGAATTTGGACTTCTATCACATTTCTTTGAGAAAATTAACAAGTAACAATCCAAAATTAATTAATAAAATAAATTTACTGCCATTAGAAAAATAAAAATAAAAATATAACCCTACTGCCAAAAACAAAAAATAATGAGATTACAACTAATAAACCTAAATGTCATTAATTTCATCTTCAAAAAAATAAACCTCTTGTCCCATCAAAGAAGTCCAACTACATTAAAAGATTAAGTATTTGAATGTGGCCACATTGATTACCAAAAACACTTACCGATTTTTACTATCTATCAAACCACGTCGTTTTGTATTCCCAAATCGGTTCGGTTAGGTAAATCGGTTCGGCAATTTTTTTTTCTCCATACACATACCGATTTAAGTCGGGACGGTGTATATCGGCTCGATTTTTTCGGTTTCTCGGTTTTTATGCTCACCCCTAATTGGAGTTGAAATTCCCACACTGCGGCTGCCAGGATTCGATCCTAGGACCTTACACCAACTTACCACATCCGGAACCAGTTGAGCTACACCCATGCGGGCAACTCCCTCATTACTTTTTTCTAATGGAGAGAGGTCAAAAATATTTCAATCCATTTGAGAAAATCCCACACCCATATTGAGTCATTATGTTTTCCCGCTTTGCCCCCGGCCGCCACATCATCACAGGGTCTCGCGCTTAGCGAATTTTTTTATTATTATTTTTTTTCTTCCGTTTTTTCCCCCTTCTTTTATGTATCAGTTTCCTTAATCGACTATGAAGCATAGTCGATTAGCCTAATCGACTATGCTTCATAGTCGATTAAGGAAAATCTTTAATTTTTTATTTTGTTTTAAAAAAAAAATTATATATCAGGTATATTAATCAACTATGATGAAACATAGTCGATTAAGAATCTGCTACTAAACATAACAAATCTCAATTGCGAAAAAATGCAAAATCAACTATATTTTACAAAAAACAAAAATATACAAACATTATAATTGATTTATACACTTGGAATCAATAAACAAAAAATCCAAAATAAAAATAAAAAAATAGATTCGATCAACCTTAATCGACTGCCAGAACATAGTAGATTATCTTAATTGACTACTGAATATATACATAGTCAATTAAGCTTTCAGCCTCGACAAAATTCTCTACACGCGCCGACCTCCGTCCGATGCACACAAAAACTCAAAATCAACCTCTCCATCGTCACCACATAGTCGGACTTGGTGGGAGCTTTCTTTTCCCCTTGGCTAAAAATTTAAATGCGATAATTACAGTAAGGAAGAGAGAAAGGAGAGCATATATCCATATTTGTTTATGAATTACATGTTCTTAGTGAAGAACTCCTTGGCGGCGGCGACGGAGCAGACCACCACCGACGACTTCAAGCTCACCAAATGCGAGAACGTCTCCAGTCCCCGCATAGTTCCCATGGGGTTTCTACGGACATAACGGCGACAACGGCGGCGGTGGAGGGGAAGTCGAGCGTGTACGATTGTTGGCGTCATGTGCAGGCGCGGTGGTGGTGTCGGCGACTGTGATTGTGAGGGTTTTGTGCGGCGAAGACAAAGTGAGGTTGAGTGGTGGAACGACGAGGGGACGGTGGTGGTCGGTGAGGATTTGGCGGCGATAGCGGTGGACGGCGGGGGATCGGAGAGGTAGTGGTGGTGGTGAAAGACAGAGATGGTGAATTTGGGAAATAGATGAATTAGTGGGTGAGTGGAGCATGAGGAAAAATGAGAGAGAAATTAGAGTTTCAAAATAGTATATTGACAATTAATGATAGATTTGGAATTATAAAAATAATACTCGGTAAAATACTAACCAAGGAGTTTTCTCTAATTGTTTTTGGAATAGGGATTTTGCTTAACTACATTTCCTAGATGAGGGGGGTCTTGTTAATAATCTCGTATTTATATTGGATGAATTTACGACAGTAAAACTATATGTAATCATATAATTTACATGATTATTTACTTAATTAGATCTATGATTAAAATTCATATAATATAAATATCTAGGTGTAGCATCAAACTTCAGATCCCATTTGATTGGGTAGATTAGCCATGATTAATTAAATAGTTGAAATTAGTTGGATGTTTGGTATTCTCAATAATTTATAAAATCGACCCACAAATATTAGGTTATCATGAGTTATCTTGTATTTTAAGTATGACTTTTGTTGGATCTAACAAAACAATCGAGTTTTATTAAATTATTTATGATGATGCTAATTACTTAGATCACCTGGGGTGGTGTAAAAAATGAACTGGGAGAGCAAAGCGGATCAGTAGCTTGACAACTTGATGATCCTGAGGTACCTGCGATCATAGAACACGTGAGCTACGCCGGGGGTTGATCCGGCGGAAACCCCTCCGACGCTCAAGTCAGACGTGCTGATCATAGAAATAGTCCAGAGAATACAGTTAATAGCAATGTTTTGAAAACCGGACCGGACCGGCCGGTCCGACCGGTTAAACCGGGAACCGGAGGTCAGTCCGGTCCGGTTAAGCATGAAAACCCGGATGCTCCAAAAAATCGGTCAGAAGGCTGAAGTCCCGGAAAACCGCCGGTTGAACCGGAATCTTAGGAACCGGAAAAAACCCGGGTTTTGTGAAAAACTGACATTTTAAGACAAATAAATTACAGTTCTGTAAGAAAATGCACATCTGATTAACGAGAGGAAGAAGAAAAACAAGAGAACTCAGTCCTCATGATTGCCGATGGAATAGACGAAAGGTTGCGTGTTGAAATCTTGGGATAAGATCTACAATGGTGGCTTAGAGGGAGGTCTGATAATTGGGGAAGAAAGAAGACTGAGATGAAATAGAGAGAAAAAAAATATTTGCGGTGGCTGGAGTGCTTCGAAGTATGTGAAGTGTTTGTTTTAAGATAGAGGAATTACTGCTTTAAAAATAAAAAATAAAATGTAAGTATAAAGAAATAATATTTAAATATATTAATAAATTAAGTTAATTAAATTATTTATATTCTGTGTAGATGTTCAATATATTAATTTAAAATTATTGAATTGAATTTTAACAACGAATAAATTTACTAAATCATATTTTTAAAAGATAACCACATATAATTATTCA